TACGTCTCCCATATTTGATTTTTGGATTTTGTCTTATTGTAGGCGGCGAGGAAGTCAGCTCCGACCACCGGAGGAGTCAAGAAGCCTCACCGTTACCGCCCAGGAACCGTCGCCCTCCGGTAAGATCCCACTTCCCGATTATTCGAATCGTATGCGCTTTCTCTTAGATTTGAGGATGCTGATCTATTTTTTCGATTTTGAACAGTGAAATCCGGAAGTACCAGAAGAGCACGGAGCTCCTGATCCGGAAGCTCCCTTTCCAGCGTCTGGTTCGTGAGATTGCGCAGGATTTCAAGACAGATCTGAGGTTCCAAAGCCACGCCGTCCTGGCTCTGCAGGAAGCGGCCGAAGCGTACCTCGTGGGTCTCTTTGAAGACACGAATCTTTGCGCTATTCACGCCAAGAGGGTCACGATCATGCCGAAGGACATCCAGTTGGCGAGGCGTATTCGAGGCGAGCGTGCTTGAGGTTGTTTAATGGGATTTTGGTTTAGGGTTGCTAGAATAGTTAGGGTTACCGTTGTTTCGTTATTGTGTTTCTGAATTGCTCTGAGAGCAGACCATTCGTTCTTTATTTTCTCCTGCTGTAAATTTTACATATCATAATGGCAATATTGTTTCTATAGTTTCTAAGTGTTTTTTTCGTCCTACTGAATACACGGGTAATGTTAAAAAATTATTCTTAAATTTTAAAATTAATTATAAAATTATATTAAATTTAGTTTATTTTTATACAGAAAAAAATATATTACTATATATTTTAGAATGATATTTGTAATTTATGACTTACATATTATGTTATATTAATTTTTATAATTTATATCGTATAGAAATTTAAAATATAAATATATTAGTTGATAAATAATTTTATTTTTTTAATTAATATTAAAATTAATTTTATTATTGTTATAAAGATAAATATAAATTATTTTTTTTATACATACAATATGAGTGTTAAATTGAAGTTCATTAAAAGAAGATTAATTTTATGGAGCTTAAATTAAAGTTCTATTTGATATGTTACATATATAAAATTGATAAAAAATAAAAAAATTATTAATTTTTAAAATATATATACAATTCAATAGTTATAATAAGCAATAACATTAAAATGCAATTAATACATGTAACAAGATCATAAATAATCAACATATTTATAGTAATTTGAACTTAATTATTTTTAGTTTGGAATTAAATTAAAATTTATCCAAATCACGAAACATATAATTTTGCCATATGAAATTGCGAAGCATCAGAAGCAGCTACGTAGACTCAACGCGTTCTAGATTAATATATAGGGGATATTGCAATTTACAATTTATATATTATATTAAAATATTATATTATATATTACAAAAAAGAAGTAAATTTATAAATAAATATATTAACTACCAAATATTATTAATTCATTGAAAATAAAATCTTTTGAAAATGAATAGAATACATAAATTGAAAATTACCTGTTTTAATCAAAATTGTCATAAATACCTGTTTTCCTTGCTATATTTCGGTTGTAGATAATTTCGGTTTCAGATATAAATTTTTTCTCATTTCGGTTTCGGTTCTAGAAGATGGAATTGCGTTAGAGTTGTGCTGGATGTGGTCTCCAGCACTGCGCCACATATTGCTCCACAATACAGATATATACAGTGTCGCGCTGTTCACGCAACTTCAGATTTTTTTTTTTACTTTAATGTAATGTGTTTAATTTGTTATTTTATTAAATAAATTAACTTAATTCATTTAATTTGTTATTATATATTGCCTTTTAAAATTTATTTATATTTAACTGTTATAATCAATTAAAAATAAAAAAATAAAATAAAAAATACAATTTTTATTACAATTAAGAGATACAACACAACAAAATATATAATTCAAAACATAATTACATAACATAAATTAAATAACATGAAAATTATGCATAATCAATTTAAAATAACAGTTCTAGTAGTCTCCCAAACCACTACGAGATCCGCCAAGATCTTGAAAATATTCACCAAAAACATCAGAAGGGTTAACTTGTGGTGTCTGTGAAGATTGTTCTTCTCTTTTACGTAAAATTCTTTCTTGCTCCCGAGTAAAATATTCACGTCGACGACTATCTTGTATGGAATCCAAATCCATCATTAAAATTTTGTTTTCTTCTGTCCATGTGGCGGTCTCGACCATTTGTCTTCGTAACTCATTTCTTTGTCTTTGAATTTCAAGTTTTTGCCTTATTATTTCACTGTCGTGATCTCTTTTCGCGGCTGAAGTAATTATTAATTCTCGAAATTTTTCATTTTCTTCCTGATATAGGATATTATACTGGACCCCGTTTAATGGATAAAGCGGATACATATTGGAGGATAAGCCCACTAAGACATCTAAGGCCAACGATAGGGGCCCAACTTGGGCCCAAAAGGTATACTCCCCCTATAAAAGGGGGCCAAGGTACCTCATTCTCTCATTCTCTATTCATTCAGTGACTACAATTTCTCTCTCTTGATCTGAGCACTGACTTAAGCATTGGAGGCCCGACGCCGGGGCCACCCCCGGCGTTGGGTTTTGCAGGTACGGAGGCCGTTCGAGTTGAAGGAGCCCGGGTGAAATCTGTTCACTTCACTTCCTTTATTGTCTTCACTACGACAGACACATCATCTCTTTTTTTTTTTCTCTTTAATTTTGTTTTTTTAACGCCTTCTGGCCGCTGTGATGATGTACCGCCACTAGTATTTTCATCACTTAAATTTATAGAAAAATTAAATAGCTCAGGATTAGGTGAAATTGGGGACTCTGGGAGCCCACTGTGTTGAGACATTGTTAAACTTCGCCGTTGTAACGTACACTCGAACAACACGGAGTCTTTCATAATTGTCCACACATGCTCATACTTGAATGGCTGACTGGTTTTATTTTTAGGGTCCTGCATAAATAGTATCTTTGCACGCTCCATCTACACAATGAAAGTAAAAAATATTAAGAGATTATTAATTTCTCAAACATACTTAAATTATATGAAATTTTCTTACAACATCATGTTCGGAAGCTCCACTGATGTAAGCATTTTCAATTTGCTGCACACATGATTTGAACAGCTTCACAACAGTGTTGATAATACCCATGCGACATTGAATTGATCTTTGTGGACGATCTGGCCACATCCGATTTGGTTTTTTAGAATTGTACTCGTTGGTGACACGATCTCAAAATTGAGCTCGACTTTGATTCACTCCCACCACTAGATCTTGAGAAATTTCCATGTATGACTGGCATAGGTGTTGATCTTCGTCAGTTGTGTAGTTGGTTCCCATTGTTGTAGCACAAATTATTATTTTTACCGAGTACCGAATCGAAAAATTCGTTCCCCGGGTCGATCTCACGAGGAAGGCGGTTCGGAATTCAGTTTTGGTATCAATCACACATAAAAAGAAAATAAATCCTAAACATACTAATCAAATAGGGGATAGAGTAATTATTAACTAAGAAATATCATAAAAATAATAATCTACCTAAGAAATACGAACGAAACAATGAAAAAGAAGCTAGGGAGTCGGAGATAATTAATTCAAGTTCTTGCAAAACCGGGCAATCAATTGTTCGGTTCGAGAATTACACTCTCGCTTAGACATCTAGCGGTTCACTCCCAATAACTCTTCGTAATAGGAGATGGAACATAGACGTACAAGCTCGAGCATACAATACAGGCCAACTACCACAATCCCAATAACTTTTCGTAACAAGGGACGGGTCATCGACTCGCACGTATTTCAACCAAAAACATATAGACTATTCAATTACAAAATCATCTACCTCATGTGAGCCTATTTCTACGACTTCTCCCCTTTCGGTTCTGAAAGCCGCTAAGTCAATTAGAAGGTGATTAATCAACTAATCATATAGAATTGACAAACCCTAACTCGACAAATTAACATCCAACTTTCACCAATAGCAAGATCGAAATGTCACTTTTTGATTATATCAATCTATCGAATACAAATTCATCAATTCCTCATCAAAACAACGCACATAAGAACGAACAATTTAAGCCCGAGAGATACACGTTAAACATGAACAATCATCCCCTATCCCTAGCAATCAGAATTAGCTAAGCAATATCAATTCAACACAATTCATCATCTCTTTCAATTCAACCATTATCCATGAGTTAAAAATAAAGAGAATAACTTACAATAAATCGCAATTCCAATGTTGAATTTGAATTACAAGCTTAATCCAAGAGTAATGGTGCAATCCAAGATGAATAATCAAAGTTTCTAGAGAGAAAAAGGGTGAAAATCGAGTTTGGAGTTAAAAATTAGGTCTGGGAACGAGTCCCAATGCAAAGTACTCGAAAAAACGAACAAAACCTAGCTTTTAAAAATCAGATCGCGACCTCCGCGGCCGCGGGAAGCTCCGCGGCCTCGACTTTCAGCTGCAGTAGTAATCCCGCGGCCGCGGGATTCTTCCGCTGCCTGCGGTGAACAAAATTTGGCTGCTGCGCGCGGCTTTACGATTTTTATTCGTTCGGGTTCGTTTTAACTCGGAATTGAGTTCCATTTTTTTTCTACGCGTCGCTAATGAACCCCTCTATCTAACTATGCAAACCCATCAAATATTTTCTTGAAAACTTGTCCTCTCGGAGCTTCTTACCTGCACCCCAAAAACGAAAACAAAACCAAAAAACACCGGAAAGCAAACGGAACACACCAAGACACTCAAAATAACGCAACACACACAATAAATGACAAAACGGACTAAAAACTAACTAAAAGACCTAACATAGGGGAAAAAGAAAGACAAAATGACAATAAAAAATGCAACAAAAATGGGACAAACAACTCCCCCACACTTAAACCTTTGTTCGTCCCGAACAAAAAGAAAAGAAAACAAGACACGAGCATTGATATGGTTTCAAATAAGAAGAGTCTCAAAATACCCAATTCAGTTGAGTCGAATTCCAACGAACGTATGACCATATGCCTCAAATATCATCTTGACCTTGAAATGACAAACTCTCAAAACATAGATCATCTCATATATGCCTCACTCATTTTCTTACATGAATATATGATAGGTACGCTCAAAAATTGGTCAATATTCAAGTTTCAACATATGCTTGCCAATCGCTTAAATTACTCGAAGACAATCAAAGCTCAAAATATGCGAATCAAGAGGACTTCAGGGGTTGTAATGCGGGTTTAAAGAAGGATATATATGCCAGAAAAGAAGCTCAAATAAACAACAAAATTCTCGAGCAAATAAATTACTCGAGTTCTCCGCTACCAAACTGGAATGAACAATATAGCACATCACCATCCATCAAACAACTCCACAAACAACACCTCACTGCTCTATCACCGAGTTGCAAAATTACTTGACCAATTTTTTTTTTTTTATTCTCTTTTATTTTCACTTTATTTTTTTTATTTTAGGAGTAACATTTTCCGAACAAGATCGAACTAAAAGGACAATATTCTGTAGGTGCTAACATTGGAGGTCATCCAAGTGTCCCACAGTAGTTTCCAAATGCTCATTACTCGCCAACATGAATCGACTAGTAAAAGGAGCAGAATCCATTCAATTCGTCCTGTGAGCTCTCATGTTTTTTTATTCTTTTTTTTTTCAACAGGTCAAGCAAATGAAATGCAACTCAAATTTCCACCATATTAAAAAATGTCACCAATCCCCCAATCATCACACAAATCAGTTAATAGGTTGACAAGAAAAGGTTTTAAGCTCAAAGGGCTACTAGTGGAATAAATTTTAGGACCAAAGAACAAGGCAGAAAGAGAGCTAATCAACAAAGCGCCTCAATCACTTTCGCAATTTTAAACTCTAATCAATCCCTTTCAAACAAACTTAAGGCAAGTTCTAATCATGCAAGAATACGACCAATATCTCACAAGAAGAAAAAGTAAGGTTCAAAATCTCACAAGACAAATAGATGTCACTCAAGGCAATCAAGCAACTACCGAGGCAATGATACACGTCCGTCATCACAACTTCCCAATCTCATCAAACATTTATCAACAACTCATATATTCACCAATATCACATGCTCAACAACACAAAAACCTAAAGCTAGACTGGTCCACCACGTAAGCATGCCCAATTTGTTGTAAATATTTTCCGGAGTTAAATCAAGAGATTCGACACCGGGTCGTGTCTCTCGAGGAAGGTCAGCCGGATTATTTCGTACGATTATTCAAACACAAGAATGGAAAATAAAAGAAGTGAAATTCCTAAACATTCTAAATCCAAGTTTGGTTGGTTTGAGTATTAACTACTTCAAATAAATTAAATAAAGCAATTAAATAGCAAACGGGCATGTAGAACAAATAAGATTAAACGAGGCTAGGGAGTCGGGGATATCCGCTTTGGTTTGAGATGCAACTAATGGGCAAGTGATTATTCAGCCAAGAAATTCGAATAATCAACATGATCAAACATTCATTCTCAATAACTTTTCGTAACAAGAGAATAAATTAGAACGACAAATTAACGAGTCAATTAACTCCTAGGCAATACAGTTATGAACAAGCCTAGTTCATGCGAATCTATTTCGACCGACTCCTCCCCTTTCGGTTCTAAGAGTCGATTAAATAATCCTAGAAGATGGTTAATCAACTAGTCGATATCGGATTAACAAAATCATGCAAGAACGAATCAAATTCAATTAAATAATTAAATATCGAAGTGTCACCCTTCAATAATTCTCAACATTCAAGCATAAATCGAAAACTCTAATTAAGCATGAATCGCATAAATTGAACAATCTTGAGCCCGACAATCACACACGAATTCAAAGCATCGATCCCCTATTCCCTAGCAATTAATTTAGCTATTCATAATCGAATTAACAATCGAAATCATCACAATCGAAAAACCCATATTCATCAATTAAATGAAAAAGAAAATCTTACGATCGTTCAAATCCGAAACCCCAACTTGATAAACAAGCTTGAATCCAAAATAAATAGCAAAATCCGCTTTGAATCCGAGTTCTACGATCCGAGTTATAAAAGAAAAGTGAAAGAGATCAGTTTTTGTAGCTATCGAACGAGAGCCCCCAAAAGTAAAACCTAGCTGGAGTCTCTCCCTCATAAAAATAAATCTGCAATTTTAAAACAGAAAACGCACAGGTCGCGGCCGCGGGAAAATTGCGGGCCGCGATGAAGAAGAGATCCGCGGTCGCGAATCATCCCGAGACCGCGTGTTTTCCGCTCTGAAGTGCCGGGGTGTTGCTCGCTTTTGTTTGCCGCGGCCGCGGAAGAGAAACTCGCGGCCGCGGCCATAAAATCTGGGCAGACGATGAGCAAATATGCAGGTGCCACGCCGTGAAGAGGTATAGCGACGTGATGGGACTTGTGTCGCGCCGTGTAGGTGTTTGCGGCGCGGTGAGGATGGCTGCCGTGGCGCGGCGGAGGTTCGCGGCGTGATGCTCGGCAGTACCGCGGCGTGGTGCTTCCTTCACGGCGCGATGGAGGTGTGGTGCCGCAGAAGAGCTCTGTAGGTGCGTGGTACTTACCGCTCGACGAGGTCTGGACATGAGCGGGCTGCTTGCGTGGCTAAATGACACGGGCTCGTTGGCACCCAGAGTTTAATTCGACTTTTCCTATGTGACGTCCACGTAACCCTCTACAAATTAAGGCCGCTAACAATATTTCATTTTCTTTCGTATGATACTCGAACGAGACACCTGACCTGCACACCACATACGAAGGAATACCGGAAAACGACAAAAAATATAGAAAATACTCAAGCTAAAGGAAAACACATAAAAATACTACGAATCGAGATAAAAACTACATAATAGACCAAATGCGAGGGAAAAATAAACGAAAAATAATAGGGAAAAACGCAAAAAAAATGGGACAAACAACTCCCCCACACTAAGACCTTTGTTCTTCCCGAACAAAGAAAAGAAAAGAAAAGACTCGACAAGCAAACAAG